GGGGGGGGGGGGGGGGGGGGGGGGGGGGGGCGGCCTCGGAGCAGCGGCGGAAGGAGCCGAGCGCGCTCGGCCGCACTCGCCGGCCCGCCTAGGCGACGTCGCCAGGGGGCGGGGCTCGTGCCGGCACGCTCGGAGCGAGGCATTGTGGGAAGGGCGGCCGGTGCTGCCACAGCTGCCATCTTAGGGACTCCGGGCCAGGCCTGCTAGGCCTTCGCGGCGGAGGCGGCCGTGTGCGTGGCCGGTGCGCTCGGGGCGAGGCGTAGGATCCGCGGGCGGGGGGCCGCGCTTCCCGGCGGCGAGGGGCGGCCTGCGGCGGGCAGCGGGCGACAGGCGGCGGGCGCCGCGCCGCACGAGGATGGGCCGGTCGCGGAGCCGGAGCTCGTCCCGCTCCAAGCACACCAAGAGCTCCAAGCACAACAAGAAGCGCAGCCGCTCGCGCTCGCGCTCGCGGGACAAGGAGCGGGTGCGGAAGCGCTCCAAGTCCCGGGAGAGCAAACGGAACCGGCGGCGGGAGTCGCGCTCGCGCTCGCGCTCCACCAACGCGGCGGCATCCCGGCGCGAGCGGGAGCGCGCCTCGTCCCCGCCCGACCGCATCGACATCTTCGGGCGCACGGTGAGCAAGCGCAGCAGCCTGGACGAGAAGCAGAAGCGGGAGGAGGAGGAGAAGAAGGCGGAGTTCGAGCGGCAGCGAAAAATGTGAGGCGCGCGCGGCGGCCGGCGCGGGGGCGCGCCCGGGCCCGGTGGGGCGGGAGCCGGCCCGGAAGTGGGAGCGGAGCGCGCGAGGCGGGAGGTTGGCGGGGCCGCGCCGCGCCGCCCCGGGCCCGGGCGGTTGGGGCCTCCCCTGTCCGGGCGGGGAAGGAGCGAGGCCCAGGCCCCCGGCGGGCCGCAGGGCAGCCTCCGTCCCCTCTCCCTGTCTTTCCTCAGCCCCGCTAGAGAGCATGCCTGGTCCCGCTCCTGCCCGCCTAAGTGCCGGCTTCTAGTTTCGGAGTACCCTTAACGAAGGCTAACACGGGGCGAGACCGGCTGCCGGCCGGGCCCCTCACTTGCAACTGGCTAAAGGTCACGTGGTTTTTGAGTCAGGTGTCTTCGGATGTGAAAGGCGTGGATAGACCGGGGGAGTGAACTTGTACATTGTCTAGTACTTTCTTCCTTAAAGGATGTGCTCACTCCCTCCAGCCACGTGGAACAGTAACGCTAAACATGTGTGCTCCCTGTTTATAGCCAGCCATCTTTTCCGGGCTTCTTGAGTGAAGACTGAGGAAGTGGTTATGAAGCAGGGACCTTAGCTAGTTCGTGGATGTGACTTATGTAGGGGTGTCCAGTTTTTTTTCTTTTTCTGCGTTTGAGTTTGTGGTAGGCCGAGTTTCCGGAAGTGAGGGACTGAGTACACCTAATACCTTAGGTGGAACAGGAGCCTTGTACTGTTAGCAGATTGTTTCTCAGTACACCTTGGCCACGTAGAATCCTGGAACAAGCCATAGCCTGGAAGATGCAGCTCCAGTAGCTGTCAGTGGAACATAGAAAAAGTGGTGTGTGACAGTTGAGGCAATTCTCCGAGTGACAACTGTGGAAACCGTATGTGCTAATTAGAGTCATTGTCACACCGTACATGGTCAGCGCAGGATGAAATGATGGGGCGTAGAGCTGTGCTGTGGTTCTGGGATGAGAGGAACCAAACTGCCTTTCGCATTTGAGAAGGGACAGGCTTGGGGCTGGCAGCCACGTCAGTACTAACTGCTGTGCATTCATTAGATGCTTCTCTGATGTCTTGCAAAGAATACACCAGAGAGACACGGGTGGTTTACAAGTGTTAGTTTGTTCATTTTAGCTAGTTGCCGGTATTTACTGAGCCTTCAGTAAGTGCTGGGAGCTGTGGTAGATGCTGTTGATAGAAAGATGATTGATTGGCTCCTGAGGTGGTCATCTACCTCAGACAGATGGTAGGTAATGGCGTAGTAAATTCAATGGGAGTATATCACAGGAGTGGAGGGTAGGGGGTGGTAAGGCTGGTAGGCCTATGGGTGTGTGTGGCCCAAACAGTAAGCTGTCTTCCTTCTGAATCCCTGAGAGAACAGCATGGAAGGAAGTAGTTTTAGAGTGATGCTGGCCACAACTCAAAGCTTTGTAAGCACGCAAGTCAAGGAGTGACTGCAGAGGTGAATAGGGCCTGGGGTTATAGGTGGGTTTTGTATGCAAATAGTTCAACTTCCTTCTAAGATCTGGAAATGAAACGGCACCCTTTAAAAGACCGTTGATAGTTGTGTAGGATGGAGTCCTAAGAGGTAGATGGGTCAAGTTGAGAGGGTGGTTAGGAGCAGTTGTTAGACTGGAAGAGGAACTGATTGAAAACATATTTAGGGTGTAGGACATAAAGGAAAAGCATCACAGTTGGCTGTCATGTTTATAGTGTCATTCTTACAACTTATCTTTTCCCTGTGTTTTATTGCCTGAAAGGAGCACTGCCTGCCAAGCAGTGTAGGTAAAGGAACGGGAAGAGCAGGAGTGTCCCCTTGGCACTCAAAGGTTCTGGTTTTTTATTTAACCAAGCTGAGGACCATGATAGGGCTTTGTGTTGCTAAAACATGGGGAATAAAAAGAAAGCCCTGAGGACTGTGTAAAGAGAGAAGAGCAAGTTGGTCCCAGGGATTGAAAAACCTCCGGGAATGTGTATTTGCGGTAAAAAGTCCAGGGTGGAAACAAGATGACACTGAAAAATACATAATCGAGTGCCTGGAATGTTTTCATGGAGTCTAGGGTCAGCTGGATGGATGGAGACACAGAAAAACAATTATCTGTTGGGTTTAACCAGTTAAGTCTCTGTTAATTGGAAATCAGGTTTCTTTACTACTTATAATTCTGAGGCCTTAAATAAATGATCTGAGTTTATCTGAAATGGAGGTCTGATTTTATTGTAAAGATTGGAGATGCTATCAGGTACTTAGTGCTTGGCAAGAAAGTGAGTCAGTAAATGTCACTGAGTATAACTTACCATGCTTCCAGGCACAGCCTGCTGCATAATATAGGAAGGAATCCAGTCATTAAAATATTAATTCATTAAATAATTCAGTAATATAATTAAAAGTAGACCTTTACATTTATTCACATTTTTGAAGAGCTAATTCTCATGGCTCAATCGAACCAGAACTTTTTCTTGTTCTTGTGTCCTGGCCATCTTGTTAATATTAATACATATTAATATTTCTTAGATATTCTTTTAAGTTGTATTAACTGCTGAAAAAACAAAAGAAAACAAAACTAGAACACCGTGTAGCAAATCCTATCATTGGCCTAGTTACTTTCTCCAGCCAGTGACATCTGAGTTTGGGTATTCTTAGTGTAATCTACATTACAAATCAGGAGCCTAAGAGTACCCACGATGAACTGATTGATATGATTCTTACAAAAATAAGTGGAGCTCATTTTGAGGGTGAAGAGCTTTATGATTGAATTTACTCTATGGAACTATATTTTGGAGCTTAGTGCTTGAAGACAGTGGTGGGACAAGCACAGAGACGTGCAGTTGGTAACAGGATGCTCTCTCAGTCACTTTCCCATCCCTGCCTCACCTTTGTCCTGGAGAAACTGCCAGGTAGCAGTTATTTAAGGCCATTAGCTTTGGGGTCTGTCAAGGTTCATTCTTAACTGTAGCATTGGTCTTGTTCATTAAAGTGACTATAACTTAGCTCATGAAAACAAGAGTTTTAAATGATGGCGTAGACATAAACACTAGTGGCCCAGTGTTTTAGTTCCTTATTGGATGTGAAGCCATTAGTGTGTGCTATTCCTGCAAGTCCCAAGAACTGAGTTCTCTTGTTTTAAGAATGTCTTAAAGGATGGCAACAGTGACAAAACACCGAGCTGTCCCTGGTAAAATTTAATGTTACCATCTTTGAAATACCTGAGAAAAGTTGGGATCCAGTGTCATATTACCACTTGAAAAAAACCTTGATCTTGATTTAATAACTTGTCGGTAGGAGATTCTTAGCAAAGCACTGCTGCAGCAGAGAAGTTGGAAGGAAGATTAGAGAAAGACAAGGTAGAGCTGCATGCGCCTCCCCCCAAAGATGTCACCCCAGGATGGCCTGTGAACAGGGCATCCTGGCGCTCAACTCAGAAAGCAGCTCCTGAGCACAGGCTTTAGAGAACCCTGAGTCTGTCTGTGAGATAATGATCCTTCTTGAAGAAGCTGTTTTAGTGGAAAGATTGGCCTAGTGGCAGTGTCGCTGTTGACTTCCTGCTATCATTGTCATGAGTGACGATGCACAAGTGCTTGCAATCAGTTGTCCCTGTGTCGGTTTTCTGAACTAAATGTAGAAAGGGGACAAAATAATTCAGGTTTGAACGTTTTCTGCCACAGATTCTAGAAACAGATGGAAGCTCTCTTCTTGTATCCTGAAGATGCCGTTTTAATCTTACTAACAACTGAAATTACGTTCCTGTGAGGCTTGTGGTGCAGCAGTGCTGTGGAGCTCAGACCTTGCCCACCCTCACTTGGGACACATACATAAGGCTGTTGGAGGCATGTTCCTCCAGGAGCAAAGGGAGATAAGTAGCCCTGGGAGAGAGCCAGTCTGCTTCAGCTGTGCCTGGGACTTTGCATTGACACTCCCCCCTTTAGACTATAAAGCCTCTGAGCTGCAGTTAACAGACCTGACTCCTTAGTTCACCAACGCACTGTCATCTGGCTGCCGACTGGTATGATCACTGGGAGTGAAGACTGCTAGGGCCTACATTTAAGACTGTCTCTGCTCTTGCTGTAAAGAAAGAGCTGAAGTGGTTTGACTCATCTTAACCACCAAATCTGTGGGTGACACTGCTAGCTATTTGTTGCTGTAGGGTAGGATGGCTTGACCACCTGAGTCAAATCCTAAATACTTAGGAGTTTCTTTGACTTTTACCAAATTCCTGTTACAGTGAGTGAGAGCATTGTTACTTGCTGATGAGGAGGCCTTTACATGCCTCCCTCCCTCCCTCTTTATCAGGGAATTCTTGATTGAAGCTGCATTATCCCCTTTTGCACATAGTACTCTGCTCCACCTAACACCAATAATTAAGAGTTGAGTTTTTAAAGATGTAAATGCTGAGTTTCTTAGGCTTTACTGCATTAACTGATTTTTATAAAAGAATAACTGAAAAGTCTGCATGTAAACAGTAGCTTATCTTTGTTACATAGCCCATAATCCACAGTCTAAAGTTGCTAGCTTATTTCATTTTTCTTTGTCCCTTTGGGTAAATAGAAAACATTTCTATATATAATTGCCATTGAATTGAGACATTTCTTTATAGTCTTTTGTTTCTTGGAGATTATAATTTTGTAGGTTATCTGCTGTCTCTTAAAAAGTGACTATTGACAGAAGGCTTATTCTAGTTATTTATTTGATAGGAAGGAGGGGTGTGTTGGACCGTAGGCTTTCGTACAGTGTTGGGAAATTATAGTTGGGAAGGAGATACTAAAGATGCAGACAAGTCCCCGCAGTGTTGGAAGTAGCGAGGACCTGGAGGAAAGCCAAATTTATTGTCCTATCTTTCTGTCTCTGGTAAAGAGGAAGAGGATAAGTATAGAAACAGAAATGATAGCTTGAGCTGAAAGCCCTTGGGTGGGAATTCAGTTGAAATGCATCAGAGTGCTTAAAGGTCCCAGCAAACTAGAAAGTATTTAGTAGACAAACCACTTGAATGAGCGTCAAGTATGTCAAACAGATTCTAAAGGGAAAAGTTGTGTTAATTTGATAGTTGGGAGAAAGTATTAAACATTGGCCTCTTTGGATTTACATGCATTATCAAGAACTTAAGTTTGTGCATTCTGCACAAACTATTGCTTAGCCTGCTGCTAGCGGCACAGAGTTAGCATGCTTTATGTCTAGCTAAAGTACTGTCATTGAACAGCTAACCAACTAAAAGTGGAAGATCATTTTAGGTTTTTCCTCCTGTCAACTTCAGAATAGATGTATAGGACCAGTGACTGTCATTGCTACAAAATATGCAATTTTTCCATGATAGCATTTTGATAGATGTTGTTAGAGAAAATTTTATTTCCAGTCAGTAAGCTGTCAATGGGATTAAAATGAGAATAGTAATATGCTTCATTTAGCTTGATAATACAATATAGTTATACCTTTCTATTCTAGAACAGCTCTTAAATAAAACAAAATAACCAAAGGAGGAAGAGGCACAATAGGATAAGTTTAGAACCCAGAGTAAAGGGCACAGTGCTGTTCACGGGCAGTCCGGAGCTCTGGTCTGTGGCTTACCTGAGGAGCAGGGAGTGAGTGCACCTTGTCAGGCTCAGCTGTAGAGAGCATGGCTAGGTGCACCACGGCGTGGAAACAGAGGTGGGCTCCTGCTTCATATTCGTGCCTCCTCAATAAAGCTGATGAACTATGTTCTGGTTGTATGCTAGCCTTTTTATGTTTACAATTTGTGTGACCAAAAAAAAAAAGATTTTTATCGTCATTTGAATTTCTGTATTATTACTGCTGTTCTTTTCCTCAAAGTGATGTGAAAATAAGCTATAAAACTATTAAAGGATATAAAAAATTAGACTCCTTGATTTCATAGGCTTAAGATTAATTCTTAGGTTCTTAACAATGTTGTCTTTTCTACTTTTAATTGCTAGTCGGCAGCAGGAGATAGAAGAAAAGCTCATTGAGGAAGAAACAGCACGAAGAGTAGAAGAGTTGGTAGCAAAAAGGGTAGAAGAAGAACTGGAGAAAAGGAAGGATGAAATCGAGCGGGAAGTCCTCCGAAGGGTTGAAGAAGCCAAACGCATCATGGAAAAGCAGTTGCTCGAAGAACTCGAGCGACAGAGACAAGCTGAGCTTGCAGCACAAAAAGCCAGAGAGGTAACGCTCGGTCGTTTGGAAAGTAGAGACAGTCCATGGCAAAACTTTCAGTGTCAGGCGTGCCTCCCGCTCAGTCCAGAACGAGATGGAATGCGACTATCTGATTCCTTTCTCACCCAAACTTACGTGGCTGCGAAAGATAATTTTTTAGCCAGAAGTGCTGACTGGTACTTAAAACTTACTTTCTTAAAACTTATTCAAGGATATTTTTTGATCCAATGGAACTGGCTTATTTGAGAAGTGTTTGAAACTTTTGCCATGGCTGCAGGACTACATTCTTTTTTGGGAGGGTGGGGGGAGCCAGGGAGCGGTAAAGGGAGAAGGCTGAAAATCCACCCGGGATTGCATTTTCTCTGTTTTTCACTCTGTTACTTAGACTGTGAGAGGCTTCTGCCTTCAGTCAGTTACAAAGAGCAGGGCCTGGCATTGAGTGACAACACCTGCTTTTCATACATAGGTTTTCTCACTATTCTTTTTTTCCTTCTGTTATCCCCTGTCCCCTCCCTAAATCCTTTCAACACAGTGGACTAATTCTGGCATTCTGATTATAAGACCCTCCATTTTCCTAATGTGTTTCAAGGAATCTTGTAAGGAAAAATGTCCAGATTGTTCATCCTTTTTTTTTTTTCTTTTTTCTTTTTTTTTTTTTAAAGTACCTACTAACAACTCCTTTTTTTCTCTAGAGAGTTATGAAGGAACAGGTTGTCCTTGTCTGGAGTCAAGCTAAACACATGATTTGTTTTATCAGCAGCTGGAGCAGAAGTTGAAAATGTCTTTCTGTGAGACAGTAATTTGCTACTGAAGCTTTCTGGCTTGTTTGCACTGATTACTCCAGGATCAGAAAGTGTGGCGAACGTCACAGAAACACTTGAGGCAAAGTGCTTCACAGCACTGAGTGTCCATCCACAGTTCGTTAACAAACAAACGAATCCCATTTGTGTAACACAGGAGATCTCTAGTTTTCTTGAACATAAATTTGTAATATTCGGCTTAAATACATGACTTCCTGTCATTTTTCATCCTGGCGTTACTGTGGACAAGTTGACATTGTGTTAAATCTCTGCTTTCTAGTAAGCTTTGCTTGTATACTGCATTTCCCTGGTCCTGTCTTAACTACATAGACGTGTCTGTAGTTGGTTTCACAGACTAAAATTCAGTGTATGGTATTTTTATTTCTATCAGTGCCTTAATAATGGAAATATTTTGGAGTAATTGTGCTATCTTGTAGCGAGTTATTAATCATAGCAAGATTTTTTTCTCTTCATTTGCTTTTTGTTTCATATTAACATTTTTTTTTAACACGGACACAATCTCTGACAGTCTCTCCAAATACTAAACTCATTTGAGTGTGTGTGCTGTGATCTGAACACTGCCCAAACCATCAAGCAATCTTCATATAGTTTGCATTATAAAACTTCATTAAATTCTCCAAGAAAAAAAAATGACAATTTTATTTCCTGACTGTGCATCCCCTGGATTCCTGAATTTCAGTGCAGACTGTAGATGAACAGTATAAGCTGCCTTTAGTGGTGTCAACATCTGATGTTAAGTCCATGCCCCATGGAAGCAGTCCTTAGTATGGATTACATTTGTATTTTCACTAACAGTAAATGTATTTTCTTATTAATTGTTTGCCTTAGGAATGATGAATTACATTTTTTGTTCCTTCTTACCATAAACATCTGCATTCCTCAGCTCAGCCTTCCTTGTATGTTGTTTCTTTATAAATGGTTGAGCTGCTGATGCAGGTATTGCCAAGCTAACAGTACAAATCATTTTAAAGAGGAAGCTGGCGCGTATGGCAGCCGAGGAGCACACTCTGCAGGACACTGGACAAGACAGTAAATACTCAACTTTTAATGCTGATTAAAGGAGTATAGGTAAAGAATACGTAGGTATCCATAATTGGTGAGACAAATATTCACTTTATTTATATTTTATATATATTTTAATTTGGTAAATACTATCCAGTTTTGTAGTTGTCCTTGTTGATTTGTGTGATATTAAAGTATTAGTAATAATTGCCCGGAGACTACTAGGGAGGGTTTAGTCGGTTGCTGTTTTGGACTGGGAGGGATGATGTAAATCTAGTGTTAGAAACCAACTTTTTAGTGGCTGCACAGTTTATCATTGGTCAGACAGAAAGTAGCTGTAAAGCTACCCTGTAAGTCAGGTCAACAGTTGAGAGGAAGATTAGTCAATATTTGCTGGTAAAGCTAAACACTTTATTTTTCTAACATTGTAACATGTCCTCCCATTTAGGAGGAAGAGCGAGCAAAGCGTGAGGAACTGGAGCGGATATTAGAAGAAAATAACCGGAAAATCGCAGAAGCACAGGCCAAACTGGTGAGTGCTTCACATCTGGGAGGCATCACATGAGGCGTTCCAAATTGTATGGATTTGTGCTGGGTAAAGTCTAATTGCTTTGAGGAGATTCTTAAGGTTATTTAAGGACCTTGAGGTTGATGTAGGAGAGGAATCGACAATACTTTAATCTCTGGTTTTTGAGAGAATGACAAAAGTGTCAGCGGTTTAAAACCTCCCTGGGGAGGAGCATTGTACTGCTCCCTGCCCCACCGTCTTCAGTCCTAACCGTCCTCACACTTCCTAGGCCTGGAGACAGCCACCAGGGAGACAAGCAGAACGCCCAGGTCTTCCGATAGCTGCCACAGTGCACTGCGGCGCTAGACAGAAGGAGCTTAGAAAGTTGAGCAAAGAACAGCACATTTTAGTCTCCCCTGATGTCTCCGTTCCCGGCCCAGGTCTCATAGCCCAGACTGGCTTTGGACTCCTGATCCTCCTGCCTCTGCTTCCTATGTGCTGGAATTCCAGGTGTGTTCCATGCCAACTCACATATTTTATTTCTTATTTCTAATTCTAATCTAAATAAAGGTACATAGACGAAACTAACCAGCCAATATAAGGAGAGACTGAACATAAGTAGTTCAAAACCCCAAGAAAGCTAGTGCCCATGAGTGTAGGCACAGCCCAAGAGAGGTTCTAGGAGAGTCTGAGCTGAACCAAGAAGAGTATTGCTGCTAAGAGGTGCTGTTTAGGGCAGGAGCGGGTTGTAGACTTCACTTCATTTCTCCTTAAAAGCTTGGCTCTTCAGAAGAACACAGAGGGCTAGTTGGTCCTAGAGCGCGGGTGGGTTAAAAGTGTCGTACTGCAGGTAGAAGAAAGACCATTTTAATTTGTGTTCGGAAGGTTGAACCTTTGAAAGGTAAATTCTGTCTGCTTTGTGAGGAACAGACATTTCAGGAACTGTTTGTATGAGCACGTGGTAAAAGGAGCAGAATGCTGCCTTAGGTTTGCCTTGTGAATGGCCCTGATCCTCCTCACCTTGGTGTGGGTATACGTGTATCAATTACTAGTTTACCCATGTGAAGATTAAGATTTTCTCTAGGCTTTTTGGTTTGTTTTATTTTTGGTGGAAAGATTGGGGATCGCAGTCTAGAGTAAAATTTCTCAAGCAGTGGTTAATGGCCAATTTTCATTGTTCCTTTAATCCTGTTCATGAGGTCAGATTTCTATAAACCCTCCAATGCTTTGTTTTCTATTTGTGGGGTGATTTATGCAGTTGTAGATGTCTGCTGATTAAACTGTTGGGCGTGACATCATTCTAATGACATCTTGGCAGTAAAATTAGTGGAACGATGCCTTAGCCAAAGAAGCTGGACTTGTAGTGACTTTGCTAAAAACTTTGGATATATTTAGCCCATTTGTGGTAACTGCAGTGAAGTTGGGATTCTAAGAAATGGCTTATGTTGAAGGAAATTTTGTTTGTAGAAAGTGGAACATCCAGCTAATTATGGTGGTTCACAGCTTTAATCCCAGCACTCTGGGAGGCAGAGCCAGGCAAATCTCTGTGAGTTCAAAGCCGGTCTGGTCTACAACAGGAATCCAGGGCAACCAAGGCTCTCAAAAAACAAAACAGAACAAAAAGAAAGAAATTGGAATGTCCTTTATGAGGGGGGTCAAAAGATGGATTGGACATGAAGATTATGCCAGGTGCATGTTAAAGCTCTTTCAGTATTGGTGTCCCTTTCCCCTCGGTGCGCCATGGTCTGAGTGTTCTTCTCTGTGTGTTTACTGGGAAAGCTCATACAGAGCACTGAAGTTCGGTTGAGTTAAGGACTGGAGAAAAGGAAGGAGAAGCACTGGTGCTCTGCAGACTGACTCGGGAAGAGCTAGCACACAGGGATGCGCAGGGATGCTGTGGGCCATAGGGAGTGGTTGAGCTGATTGTGATCCGAAAGCCTCAGGTGGAAGGCACGGGAGAGTATAAGAAATGAAACCGCCAAGGCGTCGAGGTGAGTTAGGGAATGGAGTCTCTGAGACTTCGGAAAGAGTAAACGTTACAGACGAGTATTGGGCAGCCAGCCTGAGGCATGCCAAGAAAGGGTATATGTGAGAAGAAGACAGGCCAAGAAAGAAAGTGCCCCAAGGAAACTGGATACCTGGTACTTAACAGTGCTGAAAAGACAGGTTCCCGACAACAGTGCAGAAGTACACACAATTATTTACGTGTTACATGATAAATTAACTACTGTAATTCCCAGCAAACAGGCCTAACAACTGTGGAAAAGAAGTCACTTTTTTGCCTGGTGAGGTCCAATTCCAAATTTTCCTCTTTAGGAAATACTCTGTTGATACGATATGATAAAACATTTACATGGTGACCCTGCAGATTTAGATAGGAAACAAGTTTCAGAAAAGGCTTAAATGTATTGTATATACACCCCAAACCTTAATTTCTGCTTCCAGAAATGTGTTTTGTAAGATTTACTTGTGAAACTGCATTTGCACACAGCACCTTCTCTTAGGGTCACTAAGAGTGAAACGTATCCACTCGGGTAGACAAAGAACTTCTGAAGAGACTTAATACAAAACTGCTGTCTATTATAACTGGACATCAGCTCACAAGAAGCATATGCATGCCTTTTTTAAAACACAGAAAAATAAGCCAGTGTGCTAAAAATGCTTATCTTTAGTTGGTATATTCAAGCATAACTTTATGTCTTTCTCCAGTTGTTGCGTGCTTTATAAGTGATGCATTCCATTTTTATGGCCTGGTAAATAAAGACAGCAAGGAAAGTACATTTAAGTCATCCTTTTGATTAACGTTTTAGTCAGCCCATGGTAATATTTGAATATGCAGCTCAGTGAGGACTGAAAGGGAATGTGTTAGGTTTAGTCAGCTGAAATATGTGACAGTCACACTTAAGTCTAGTCCCTGCTCTTGTAGCTAATCCAAATGATGTGTCAAGATAGGTTTTGCTCTATAAGACCATACACCAAAGTACATTTGTGATTATAAGTCACACAATCCAAATGTGGGCCAGCCTCAGTGAGCACACTCTGTTTGTGAACTTGAAGTGACAACTGAGAGTTACTACTGCAGAATTTTAGTTTTCTCTGTGTGTTTGTGAAGGTGTGTGCACTTGTGCTGTGCACACGTACATAAGTGGGGGCCGGAAGTTGGTGTAGGCTGTTTTCCTCAGTCACTTTCACTTTTTTGGAGGTGGGTCTCACTGAATCTGGAACTTAGTTCCAGGCCACAAGTTTCAGATGGGTTCATACTCCCGGGACTCACATTGACATGGGTGCTAGAAATGGACTCCAGCACCCTTTACCCCCAGTGCTCTGCAGCCACTCTGAGCCATCTCCCCAGCCCAGCTTTTTTTTTTTTTTTTTTTTTTTTTTTTAAGAAAGAAACATTTAAAATAAATTTTTTTAATGCTTTTTCCAGGTTTTGTAGGCTGTGCCTGTGAAATGTTAGGTATTGTAGGTATTGTGCTAAAGAATATGAATCATGAGGAGGAAGCAGAGTTTTCTGTTTGAGTTTTTCTCTTTTTGAGGTGGATCTCAGCTTGTAGCCCGGGCTTCGTTAGTACTTAGACTTTGTCTGTCTGTATCCCAGGCTGGAATTGAACTTCTGATGACCCTTGTCCTCCACCTCTTGTATGCAGCATTACAGGCATGTTGCTACCTGAAGAGTTCAGATGTGGCTGTGAGGGCGGTGAGAAAACACTAAGGTGTGGCTTGGAAAACAGTTAAAAAGCAGATGTTTAGATACTGGTGCTAATACTGTATAATGGCTTGAACAGAAAAGGAATTCGAGAAGATGGGTTTATATCGACAAAGCAGTGGCCAGATGCTTAGAGAGAATTTATCAACTTGCCAAATGGGGCATAGAGGGAGCAAGAAGAGGAAGAACTGCTGCTGAGTGTGAATGTGCCAGGGAGCTCTAGTCACCAAAGGAAACCTGCATTCACTTAGAGGGACATGAGTAACAATATACTCAAAATGTTCCCCTAAGAGAAGGAATTTGGGGCATATACAGTTTAGAGTTTGTTCTTTTTAATGTGAAATTGTATCTTTTATTTTAATTTTTATTAGACTTACTCACTTTCTTTTTTTTTTTTTATATATTCACTTTCTTTATGTGCATATATGTACATGGCATGTATGCTTGGTACCTGGGGTCAGAAGAGAATTTACGTCCTTGGAACTAAATTTATAAAGGGTTGTGACTGTGGCTGGGATACAAAATAAATAACCTGTGATTAATTAAAAAAAAAGAAAAATTACTTAAAAAAATAAATGGTTGTGAAAAATCATCTGGGTGCTGGGGATTGAACCTGGGTCCTCCACAGGAGTAAGTAAGAGCAAATGCTTGTTCACTGCTGAGCCATCTCCAGCTCTTAATTTGAAAATGCTAGAATAAAGTCAAAAGAAAACTCTGGCGGCCTCATTTTTCTTGTCAGTGTTACAGAGCAGTGCCTGCAGCTGTGAGACTGTTCCTCAAATCCCACACCTAACCCTCATTTAGGCAATGTAAGATCTCCTAAGTTATCCAGGATTGGAGTTTAGAATTGGTTCAAGAAGTTATAAATCTATAACATTGGAAGGTTGTAGAAGCAGTTCTTTTTAGATGGCGTGAGTGATGCTCCAGAGGAGGAGTAGAGTCAGGGTGACCTAGGGGCCCATGTGTAGGCTGGCACCCCGTGCCTGCGTACATTCTGTTTTATTTTTAAATCTTATACATGAAAACTTAGAAAAGTGTACTAAAGTTTGTGCAGCACATTAAATTTTAAAGGTTTTTATGTTTTGAGGCAGGGTCTTGTAGCTGAGGAAGACCTGGAGTTCATGATCCTTGTGTCCAAAGAGCTAGATGCACCTTCCCATGCATGGCACTGACTTCTTCTAAAACATTTCTTTAGTCACAACAAGGTAAACATTAGTATGTATGTTCCAGGGAGGAAAGTAAGTTCAGGAATTAGGATTACAAATGGCAGAGCTAATAAGAGCCTTTAGAGGGTTTAAAATGCTAGAAGTCCATATTTCTGAGCAGCGGTATGGTACCTGTTGGTGCAGTTTTCCATTCTTTCTTCCTGTCACTTAAATCATTACCAATAAAAAGTGTTCCTTCCTTTATATTGTTAAAGAGTTTAGACAGTCCAAAAAGGAGAATGCTAATTATGTTGCATAGGTAGGCTCTGGTAAACTCGATGGTGCAGAAAATCCCAGGCCCTATACTGAGGCAAATTCTTTTAGTTTTGTGATGTCCTTTTCACTAGCCATTCTTAAAGCACGGGTACAGAGCTGTTGGCATGGCTCCTGAGCCGCTGGCATGGCTCCCAGATAGAATAGATGATAGACTAACATTCTGTCATTGGGGAGCCTGGGTATTAGAAGGGAGAGCTCATCTAATTTGAGAGCTCACCCTGATTTGTGTTTGAGGAGTCCATTTGTCAAGAAATGTGAAGCTAGCTGGGTGTGGTACTGCACACCTGTAATCCAACACTAAGGGAGGCAGGGGCAAGTCCAGGACAGCCAAAGCTATGCAGACATCCTGAAGACACAACCCCAAAAAACCGAATGGGGGAATGTGAAGCTAGCTGCACTAGCATAAAGATCAATTGTGAATGCGTGTGAGGGTGCTTGCCTGCTGGGTTTATGTGTTAATCCACTGAAAAGTAAAGGCTTGTCTGAGCTTTTAGCCCTTGAGATTTATTCTCTTGCCAGGCTATACCAAAGGCAGTCCCTGTGCAACAGTTTTGCGTGCATCTTAATGCTGTGGACCATCTGAGGCTGGGACTTGAACACTGTGGTTTGCTAGAGTAAAATTTGTGCTGTGGAATTTTTGCTTGTGTAATGGGATCACATTTAAAGTCTTTTGTTTTTGTTTTGTTATTAAGTAAAGTTGAGTTCTGCTGTCTTATCTCATTTGTCTGCTTTCCATTGTCCACCTTGAAAGGAAGCACTCAGTTACGGTTCTGCTTGTTTTCTCATAGTTCTTGAAGTTCATGTTCATGCATACATAAATATGGCTGTGTGCTAGTCTGCCCTTTTCTGTTTCAGAACTATGTGTAGGTCCCTTTTTTCACTTTCTCTGAATTTTTTTTTGAGAGAGATTCTCTAGACTTTGAGTGTTACATGTTCCTGTGGATTTGCACGTGCACGTGTGAGTGCACACAGAGCACACAGGAGACCAGAGGTAGACACTGAATGTCGTAGGTAAGCCTCTTTCCTGTCGTTTTGAGACAAGGTCACTAATGAGCCTGGTGCTAACCATTTCAGGTAAACTGCCCAGTGAGCCTCAGATCTTCTAGCTTCATTCCCACCCAGGTGCTGGAGATTCTTATATAGCAGGCACTTTACCTCCAGAATCCTCTCCCTAGTTCTGGTTTATGTTGCTTTAAAAAGATACTCTATTTATGTGTGTGTGTGGGGGGGGGGTTGCCTGGACACAACTCAGTGTGTCTTCACCACGTGAGTTCACTGACCAAAGAGAGCAGAAGAGAGTATCAGATCCTCTGGGGCTAGAGTTACAGGTGGTTGTGAGCCACCATATAGGTGCTGGGAATTCAGTCTTGGTCCTCTGGAAAAGTAACTTCTGCTCTTAACTGCTGAGCTGGTCTCTCTAGCCACCACCACCATCCCCCTCCTGTTTTGTTTTCTCATAAGTATTCAGTACTGTCTTACAGATTTTTTATACATTATTTAGCCCTCATTGCTTTCTTTCTAAACTGTTACAATAAATACCTTTGTAGAACTAGGAATGGGGCTCCAAGAAGGTTGCTCAAGCCGAAAAGAGCTTTCTGTGTAAGTATGAGGACGCTAATGTGATTTCAGGGACACATGTCCTGCAACACAAGTTTGTAATCCCAGCCTGAGTAGGCTGGGGACAGAGAGGATCCTTGGTGTGGTAGCTTGCCGTGGTATGGTAGCCCAGACTTCCAGCTCCATTCCCAGTTGAGAGGTGGTCCCAAAAGCAAGGTGAAGAAGCTCTCGAGGAAAAACACATCATGCCTCTGACTTATAAATAGTCATTACACATTTTCCTTGTTTACAGGTATATTTATAGACTATTCCAGAAACCGAAATAGTTGAGTAAATATATTATAAAGGCAGCCTTGATTCTAGCTGCTCTTCAGTAAGAAAGCCTATCAGTCACACACGGATGGGATCGAAAATTATATCTGTGATTTTAAAGACTTTTCATGGATTGAGGCTGTTCTTTTGACACAGGAGTCTGATGGTTACTAGGATCAAGTTAGATAGGATTAATTAAGCCTGGGTGATTAAATTGCCAAAGGTTTCCCGAGTGCATGCACACGTGGAAAAAGCCTTTACCACAACACACCTTGGCTCAGCCTCTAGTGCTGGCACTCCAAGTACGTGATTTATTTGATGTGGCTAGTTGGCATGGCGTTTTTAGATCTGACATTAACAAGGATGTCCTCTTCTTCTCGTGATGGGTTGGGAGCGCATCAGTTTTCACCTAGGCGGCTTGCTGCAGAGAGACTGCCACACCTGCTTGGCATTTATGTGTGTTTCAGGGCATCCGAAGCGTCATCCTCATCCAGGGTTTGATCCACAGATCCATCTTTCGGCTCCAGACAACATCATTCCTTTGTTTTTGTGATCATTAGTAAACCAGGGAAGAATGATGACTTGAATGAATTTCTGAGTAGGTAGGATTTTAGTGGCAGCCTTTTCGTTTGTTTGGTTTTTAGAGACAGAATTTTTTTGTGTAGCCATGGCTGTCCTCAAAACTCACAGCAATCCACCTGTCTCTGCCTCCCTGAGTGCTGGGAGTGCAGGTATGCACCGCCGTGCCCGGCTGTGTGTTTTATTTAAAAAATAAAATGAGACCAGAGGAGTGATGATGATTGGAGAATGGCACTGTTTTGTCTAACAGTGTGTGGACTTGAGACAGAAGGTTGTTTTCAAATAACAGTAAGTTATTGTTTAGTTATAAACCACCTTAAAAACAGCTTTCAGTAAATAAGGCAGAAGCAGTGATTTCAATTTTAACTTTGAATGGAAATGGAAAGGCTCAAAGGATAATGCATGGTTTAGGTCAGTCAGAGAGGGGAAATGGGATCATCTGATGGAGACATTTCAAGGCTTTCTTACTAATGACACTGTTGAGGTGAGAGGTGGGTGAGACCTGTTGCGCAAGCTGTGATGGCACTGTCCCTGTCTTCTACCCACGGTAATGTCGATAGTGACCAGCTAGATGGCTTTTGTCCTTTGGGAGAAGAGTGCTGTTAGGCCCACAGGAAGCCCGGAGGTGAGAGGAGAGTCCTGATGGGAGGGAGTTGAGAATGGCTTTTCATGGTGGTAAAGGGAATTGTATAGAGGAATGCCGGAGGCAAGTCAGTTGCTTGAGATTGAAGATGCTCTTAACTCTGCAGTTGATTTGAAATTAGATTTTATAATCAGCTAGGTCAAAACCTTTGCTACATTTTTTCTTTCTGAGAAATTGGCTCTTAGAACAATTCATTTTATTTTTGAAATGGGTTTTCTTTGCAGCCCTGATTGTCCTGGAGCTCTGTCTGTAGACCAGCTGGCCCCAAACACAGAGAGCTGCCACTACCCAGTTAGACCTCGCTTACTGTTGACTCACCTAGGGGCATAGTTGGGTTTTTACCTGCAATTCTTGTATATGTCCGTCTAATTATAAATGCAGTAATAGTAGATAACATACCCTGGGCTTCGGATAACTGTTAATCTTGATGGTATAAAGACAGAATCGAGTCTGCTCAAGGCATGAAGTCCGTAGGGTTCATTTTTTTATAAATGAAATAGAGAAAATATATAGGAATAATTATTCTTTGTTAAATTATTTTTCCTCTGCTGGCTTCTATTTATATAGGTTTGTAGGTTGTCACCTGGTAGCCAAAAGGTACTGAGAGAAGGAAATGACAGCTCTCATTTCTCATTTTAACTTTCAGGCTGAAGAACAATTGAGAATTGTTGAAGAACAAAGAAAGATTCATGAGGAAAGGATGAAACTAGAACAAGAACGACAGCGTCAACAAAAAGAAGAACAAAAAATTATACTGGGCAAGGGGAAGTCCAGACCAAAACTGTCCTTCTCATTAAAAACCCAGGATTGAATGGCAAACTCTGAACTTTTTACAAAGAAAAATGAAAGAAAGAAAAAAAAAAAAAAAAAACTTCGTATTGTAGCTTCATGTTGAAGTGTTTTTTTTTTTTGTTTTGTTTTTGTTTTGTTTTTGTTCTTTTTTTTTTTAATTTGGAAAATCTGGAAAGTTAGCTGTTCTAATAGGGGCTATGCTCTGCAATCCCTTTATTTTCCCTCTTTTTTTCCATTAAGTCAAATCCTTATCAGATCATTGCTGTCCTCTAAAGTGGTGTATTTTGCACCTGTTGGGATTCTGTACTGGTTGGGTCTGCTGAAGAGCAGGTCACTTGGTGACTAGCTGGTCTGGTAAGGTGTTCACTGACCACTGACTTCAGAGTTATACTCTGTTTACTACGTCATAATGCTGGTTTTGCTGACTTTTTGTTTTTTTATACATTTATAAAAAAAGAAAAAGTTGGTGATTGCATTGCAAAATCCCCAGGGTTTTCCTGGACCTGAGTGGTGTGTTGTTAAGCAGTGTCCTTGTGGTGCTGTGGCTCTTGATGTTCCTGAGAACAGGTAAGGAAACAGTTGGTCACCTGCTACAGAAACACCTGCAGTGCAGTACTGTCTTTGTTGGACTTTTGTTTCTTTCGTTGACAGAGTCAAACCAGCATTCCCCACTGTAAATAAATAATTTTGCTGAATAAAGTCAAGTCTTAAATTCATATGTTTTAAGCAATTTTTTTTAAGTTGTGTTAAGTCTAAAGGGTGGTTTACTTTTAGAAGCCTTAGAACTGTGCTAGATCTCCTCTGGCATATACTTTTTACATTAAATATACTTGTGAATTAGTACCTACTGCCTATTTCTACAGACACTACTTTATGCTGATAAGAGAATTATAACATCAACTATTATCTTTTGAAAATACTAATCCTGTGCCTCTGTTAAAGAAAATAAATATTATTGCCACAGATTATACTTAAAAAAAAAGACTAGAAAATATGTTTTTAAAGTTGATGGAATATTAAGTTACTTTCAGAGAGGGTGGACCATCAGCTAGAACCACGCTTTATATGTTCAAAACACTAAAGTAATCTTCACCCTTGCATGTTTTTTGGGGTTAAACATTTAAATTCACTAGGTTTTTGGGTTTAGGGTTTGTTTGGGTATTTTTGCATGTGGAAACAAACTTACATATAATCCTGGGTTTTATGCAGACAGAATCTGCCTCAGTTAATGTTTTAGTTATTGAAGTTTACTAGTGTTAAGACACTCCAGGAGAGTCTGTAAAATAGTGTCTGAGGTGTATAGGTGCAGCATAGTGGCCCAGAGATAGTCAGCTCGTCCTCGCCATTGGGAATGTTGGTTGACATGAATAGCTGGTAGGTTACTTTGTGTTTGCATGCTCTGCAAAATGCTTTAGTTCAACTCTTCATTTTAAATATCTTCAAATACAGAGTTTCAAGTAGGTATGAGGTATAGTGAGAAGGTTTTAGTCAACAGAATACCATAGTACTCTAAATACATATTCACGTCATTTACCTGAATAGATTATAAATCTCAATATAAGTTTGCCCAAATTGTTTTCTGGTTCCTATACTTTATTCTTGTAATGTAACTCTTGAATTCAGATTCCTTGTTCCTCGGTTGCATATTCAAGGTTTTGGAAGTGTCCATTTAAAAGTTGATTTTGTTCTGCTGGTGTTCTGAGCGTTGTATCTGAAGAGTAGCCTGGTCTTCAAAGCTTGAGATCAGCCCTCTTGTGCCTTTGATTCTATCATTAAGTTTCAGAAAGAATCACAGTGGCTTTGATGCAGCTCCATGTTTGCTGTTGGAGACTCCTAGGAACCAAAATGTCCCTGTGCTTGGTAGCTGCTTAACTGCCAGGCTACAGGGAAGAGGATGTCGTCGTCAATAACACGCACCCATCTTTTCTGTGCTACAACAATGTAGTAGCTTGTTTTCTTCATTTGTTCTACTGCTTTTGTGTACCCGTTATAAAAGTTGAGATTTTCCCCAAACTATTAGCAGTTGAGATGTTCCCTAAGTAACTAACTACGCCTTTAATTCAGTTTTGTTTTCTTGGGTTATTTGAAAATCTTGATGCTTTATTGAAATAACTATTGACTGTTTATTTTTATTATAGTATTTAAAATTTGTAGTTAATGCTATTAATATTGTGGAGTTTGCAGAATTCTCAACTGTATAAACTAAACCTTTAAATTAGCTTGGTGTGAGGACTCTTTAATGCTTCCAGTAGGGGACGGGAACCCAACGTGAGGACTGCTGTAGTTTCCCTTAGGATGTAGGAGATGAGCCTATTGCTGCTCCCAATAGTGACTTGGTCACTTGACTGTACTAGTAGTGTATGTCCTTTGCGAGCCTTCCGGGGTGTGGGTGTGGCCACTTTTAGATAAAGTAGTACTTGAAATACTAGTGATTATATATTGCTAATAATTTTTTGAGTAAAATAAACATGGACTCGTGCACCATTTTACTTAGTGTCTGTGATTCATGCTTTACTAAGGGTCCTCGGTTAACATTTTCCATGCTGCTGTTAGCTCAAGCTCTTGGTATTGAGTGGTCTTCAGTTCTGTTGCTTTCCACCGCGAGCCATCAGTGCGCAGGCATTGTTGGCCATGAGATGCTGAAGACAGGACCCAGCACCTGCACCAGTAGGCTTGTGAACACTTGCTTCCTAGGCTTACTCACTGGATGGAGTGGACCTGGAAGTATTACTGAAGGGCAGAGGCAGAGACGTGCTCCCCAGCAGTGGGCATTTTACCTTCCCATTTGTTGGACTGCCATCTAACTGGTCTTGGTTCCTTGGCCACTGTGAAGTCCATGTTGACAGTTTTAGAATCGGTTTGTCCTGGTGAGAGACTGGCAGCGTGATGTAGGCTTGCACTGGCTGAATCATGCCCAACAGCACAGTCTTGTAGCCTGCTGTCATTTGCTGGCAGGATTGGGTTGCTCTCCCTCCTGTGTTGTGTACTGTGAAGTGGTTAAGTAAGCGATTTGTAAAACAGCAGTAGGGCGGGGCAGGGTCCAGGGGATTCAGGTAGTTTAGAGCCTCCCAGCAACCACCGTCTGTTACAGCAAACCCGGTGCTTTTTTCTTCGTGTGAGGGTGCTCCGTAGATTAAAGTTAGATCTTTAGACCCCCCCCCCCCCCCCCCGCCCCGCCATCCATCACTGAATCGACAAACATTGTTAGCCCAGTTCTCAGATTGGTCAGAGCATGTGGGAATGATTGTATGTCCATGCTTTAGAAACCAGTAAACTGAAGAGCAGTGCATGTTGATGAGCCAGCGGTCTCGCACAGCCAGATTGTTCTGCTAAATACGTCAGTACATTCTGGGCTCCCTCACTTCAGATGGGTGGGCCTGCTTCTCATTTCCTAGCAAATGACTATTTGGATTAGTTGGCAGGTAAGGAATGAAATACAGGACTGGCTGATTCTAAGGTCTCTTGGGCCTTTTGTAGCATGCTCTAAGGGCAAAAGCATCTGTAGGTTTTGTAGAAGCTCTTCCTGTTACCTTGCCACTGTCTTCAGTGATTGTAGGTAAGAAACAGTGGTGTTGGGCTTCATGTGTTCCTATGCAAATGTCTAATCAGTTTATAAAAACTGTAGAGACTGTAGAGTAAGGCAAACTGTAGTTGGTCTGTGTCCACCAAAATACCTGACCCATTTGGTGGATGGACCTTCATAGGGCCTATAGACCTCGGTTCACATTAGGAAACTGTGCTGTTCAGTGTCATCACTGTATCTGAGAATGATGGAAAGGAAGAGGCTGAACTAGATCCAGCCCACTTCTACAACCTGTTTCTAAGGCATGTGATCCACACTTTCCCTCCAAACCCAAGAGGCAATGAGGAGGATCCTCCAATGTGGTTACAAAACAGTGAAGACCAAACTGGTTAGCATTACTGTAGTGCGTGCTTTTTGCTGCCTAATAGGTTGCTCTTTCTGAAACTCAGCTTTGCTGCCTCCCTCTATTGTATTTTGTAACAGTTTTGAAGTCCTTGTTGACTGAGATCAGTAGCTTCCTGTGCTGAGGTGCTTTGTTGTCCTCTGGCATGGAGTTGTAACAGCCTACTTGAAAAATGAAACCCAGGTCAGATGTCATGGTGTGCTTGGTGTGGCTGGGCTTTAGAATTTCTTTGTGCAAGTGTATTTTGTACACAACCCTGTGACATTTCTGTCTGGGATAATGACACGTGTAACGTTAGATATGAACGGCTTGAGGTTATGTTTTAATTCCCAAAATGACTAGATAAGCATTCGAGGACCAGGATGTTAAGGCGTTGGCTTACTCTGCTTCAGTTTGTGTCCCTGTATAAAGTCACACAGTAGGAGTATTACGTGTGTAATTTTAAAAATTAAATGTATTTACCTTGTCCCCAAGGTGAAATGCTTTGGGTGTTAGAATATGTGGCTTACTGAAAATGGTATTTTGGGAAGCGGGGTTATTTTCAGACATTACACATTTCCTTTAGTTTACCAGAGAGGATGTAAGGGAGCTAAGAGGTCACAACTTAAATTTCCTAACAAACTGAACCTCCGTTTAGACCATGACTTCACACCACTTTAACTTCACACTAGATCTCTATGAATTCCTTAAGTGAAATCTTTTAAAATGAGATTTTTTTTTCCCTCCCCTTTTCCATAAAGGTCAAATAGCAGCAACTCCTGCCAGTTTTTCAGTCTTGAGAATTGTCAGGAAGTCCAAAACAATTATTCCCAGGTGTAGGGTGTGTGTGTGCGCGGGCGCGCAAGTAGCCCTTGCATAGCCTAGGGTGAGTCCCACCTTAGTACCCCGCCCCCACTCATATTGCAGGCTTACTTAAAAGCAGTAATTACCGGAAAGGTTTTCCCTTCGAAGCTGTATTTGGGAGAGTGAGTCATTCCATACTACGGGTGTTTCCGTGTTTTGGTCGTAGCCAAGATTTTCCACACCAACCCTAGTTGCAGTATAAAGTAACTTACAGTTAAGGTTTCGAAAGTAAGCACGTTCTAAAAGCTCCGATTTTTGTTTTAAATAAGGATGAAAGTGGGAAGAAAGAAAAAAAGGCCCAGCACTAACTAAACCAGGTGTTACGTTGTATATACCTTCTAGTATATTGGCAAGAGGGACTGTGTTTAAAGAAATAGGTGTGAAAACTCCCTAGTTCCATGTGAAGAAATTGTGGTATAGACGGACAGGATTTTAGGAACAGGCGTGTTAGTTTCTGTCGGGCCGCGGACTGCAGGGTTCCCTCCATCTGCTGTGCTCTCCCTGCCGTGGGCATCCTAAGCCAGTGCTTTTGACCAAGGAGCATCTGGATCCATTCCTTAGGAGGCTGGTCCGGGTAGGCTTGTTCTGAAACACAGCGGGGCAATAGTGGGCGCTAGTGGGCGCTGTGGGTCCGTAGAAGTCGCCAACGCGGTGCAGTTTCTCAAAATCCGTCCAGGGCAAGCACCCGAGGACCGAAGAGCTGCTGCCACTTCGGCCCTGACTGATAGTCGCCCGGGTCACCCCTAACTTCCAGGCCACTGGGGTCGCGGGCTCTCCCGGGAGCTAGGAAAGGAAAGTCCACGCAGACGCTGGCAGTGGAGCTTTGGAGGCGCGGTTCTCGGCCGTGGCAGGAATCCGGAAAGGGGACTTGAGGAAGAGGGCCAGAGAGGGAGCGGGCAGGCCGAGACGGGCTCGAGGCGCTCAGCGGGACGCGGGGTCTCGGGGGC